GAAGTTTCTTCTTCTAAATCCACTCTGATCCTGTATTTGATTATGCCTATAAACCCCTCTATTTCAGCCCTGCTCAGAACAGGCTGATTCTGTGTCTGTACCTGATTCTGTGTCTGTAATGTAAATGAGCTGTGTCTGACCACGCCCCCTCTCTGGAAGGTCTTGGGTGTACTCAGGCTTTCTCGCTCCTTGTCCTATTGTTTACAGTGAGAAGGCAGACTCAGAGAGCAGAACAAACACCTAGCTGTGGGAGTGTCACCCACCTGGGGGAGGGGTTACCTCCCTTTGTGATGTCATGAAGGGAAAATCTCCAAACGGCCTGTTTGAGCACACATTTTCTGAAAAGTGGAGCAGGTAAAAGACGGAGAGGATGGACTTTTCTTATCATTGGGGGGGTTGTAGACAGACTAGAGACACATGTTAGTGTTAGAGAAATATGTGTGTATAATGTGGGACCTTTAAAGAAATTCAAAGCTCAGCTAGAATACATAGTCCGAAATATTGAGTTATGAGGCTTATGGTGTAAAAAAACGAGAACAGTACAGGACAGTATAGGACTGAAGTATTTGTATCTGCATCTGACTGTGAGTATCTGGCAGCAAAATATGTTGTTGCTTCATGCATTTTCTGTATTTCCTGCTGTTCTAAAAGCCCCACAGGTGAGGACATGTGTTGCCGTACCTGCAAGAACATCAAACTCAAAGATGGGGCCTTCTCCTCCAATGAAGAGGAACACTGGACCATCAGGGCGCCGCCAATATGCCTCGTTCACCAAGAACCTCTAGAGAGCAAAAAGGATTGTTTTCTTTATTGTCACCAGAAGCAGCAGAATGACAATGGACTCATTTGGCAGCCTTAAATGGCATAATATCTTTATATTATGATGTGGTCTGCTATATCATCCCCATTAATGTTTAAACTCAAGTGTGAAGTTTAATGCTCCAAATGTGAAGCCCCTTTTCACGCTGTCATCTCACCCAGACTAGTCGATATCTGACTCTGGAGGTGTAACTGTTTAAAGCAGTATTCAGTCTTTCTCTACCTGTGAGAAAGTGCGAAGGTCTTGTGGGTTGAAGTGGTCCAGCTGCTGCAGGATCCTGCCCTCCTTCACATGTTGGAGAGGCCGATGATACCCGGCTGTTTGTGCCAGGAGACGCTGCTTCACTCTCTGCAGCTGCAGGTGACGTGCACTCTCCTTAATCTTCCACAGTATCCTTCCTGACATTAAAAAAAGGGAAAGAGAGAAAATGCAAAGTGATTTCTGAGCTTTCAGGCGTTTTATCTTTCCTCACTCAGTCCTGTGTTACGGGGTTTATAACACAAAGGTTGAGCCTGAAAATATCAACCTTTTTTTTAACAAGATATTTTTTTTCTGATGAGACAGCTGATTTTATTTACTTCTGTAATTATTGCAGTTTTTTAATGACACCCAATGAAGATAAAATGACTGTCAGGGACAACAGGCTAACACATTTTCCTTCTGCTACTTAAGTCAACCCTTTTAACAAAAAACTTCAGCCGTCAAACAATTCAAGTTCCTAATCTCGGAGTGGCTCCTGTCTGACGAGGATTCAAACCCGGAACGTCCTCACTGAGGCAACAGCACAAACCACTGCACCACCATGCAGCGTAAGAAATCCACAATTTCTACAAAAAATGCATACACCATGTACACAAACTAGACATATGTGCAAAGAGCAATTTTCAGTGGAAAACGTGAAGCTCCTTTTGAGCCTTTATTTTTTCAATTCATCAACTCACCAGCGTCGACAAAGTTCAGGAGGAGCAGCAGGATGAGACAGTGTGCTGGTGGAAAAACCATCATTAGTATCGATTGAACTCCACGGTGAATCTGTAGGACTGAGGAGGAGCTCTACGTCTCAGCTCCCTTTAAACGCCCTGAAAGAGGCCGGTGGTCCCTGTAAGATGAGAACATGTGAGATCTTTGATATGACCTGAGCGTCATTATGATCAGCATCGAGCACAGAGAGACAACAGACAAAAGACTATGTGTGGGTGACAGAGAGAGAGAGAGGGAGAGAGAGGGTGTGTGTGGTATATATAAACTGCTCAGCAAAAGATAGCATCAGCTTGGTGATATTGAGATCATCTGTCTTGTAATCGCTTGTTCTGAGAGGTCCAGTTACAGGAGCATTCCTCTGATGAACAAATGCTGCATCAGTGTGTGGAGGCACTGACCTGTACACACACACACACACACACACACACACACACACACACACACACACACACACACACACACACACACACACACACACACACACACACACACACACACACACACACACACACATTCAGGACCTGACTCTAAATTTAGGAGGAGGACATACTGGCTGATGCATAAAACAACTTTGTCATCACATCTGCAGCTTAACTATTTGTGCATTCAGACAGGCAAGCTATGCACCCAGAGTGAAACTATATATCTGTTATGACGCCTTGTAAAGCCAAAACTTGCAAACTTGCAAAACTTACATGCATTTCTTGTTTTTGATTCAAATGTGATCGGCCTTGAAACTCTAAGCCAATCATCTACCGCCTGTTGCTTCATTTTAACTTTTGAACACACAGATATGAGAGAGATACAGATGTTCTGATGCAAGAAGGTTTGGCCAGTTCACATCTTTGAAAAGCACTTTAAGTTTGTCAGGAAAGGGCGATAAATACTAGCCGAAAGTAACCTTTAAACATAGTGCAGTTTCCTCTAATCCACATTCTGAGCACTGCAGGGGCGTCGAGTTATCTCACTTTTCTCAGAATACTTGGTACATCTTGTCAACAAGATTATAATCGTTCTATCATGTTCTTTCCTGTTGATAATAATCTCATCAAGCTGTGCTTTGGTAACGTATTGCTGTCATTACTGTTGGTGAGAAATTCAAAGTTTGAACACAAACAACTGGTCACACTAATAAAAACACATTTGTACAAAGACCGGAAAGGGACATGGATATGTGTTTCTTTTAAACACACGTGCGCTTCAGGCTCATTTGTAACGAGGAAGTGGCTAAATGCTAATGTTAGCAGTAGCTAGCAGGTTATCAGATGCATTTTTTAACTCATAATACGGCCCCTTGTGACTCCACATTTTCAGTATCCGTTGTCTGTGTACTTTCTCATCAATCTTTAAAACTCATGAACTGACACAGAAGGGAAGAAACGCAGAGGGTGTGTTCAAATTGTCATTTTTGCTTAAGAAGGTTCCTCACTGAGAGAAATGACCCGCAACGTTTTTGCGGGGTTAAGGTAAAGTGGATAGTGAAAGGACACAGGAGGGACAATCCGAACGCACCCAGAGACTAAATAGATCAGGTAATCAACCACAGGTGGGACTAACAAGACACAGGTGAAGACAATGAGGGCAATCAGAACTGGAGGGAAACCAAAGACTGTAAACATTAAAGGGATACTTCACCCGTTGAAACATGAATCTGTATTGACATTGGGTCATATATGTAGTCGAAATGTAAAATACATTTTGAAGTTGGCGCCTTCTTGGCCGAGAAAGGCAGAAAGTGTCTTTTTGGCTCATGTGGATGAAAGACATCAACTCCCAGAATGCACAGCACCGCAGGCCACTCCCACCGATCTAGGGTCCTCTATTTACAGACATGAACTACAACACATAAGGCCGTTTCCTCAACTGATTCTGAGATTTCTTCCAGAAGGAATTGGCATCCTGGAAATTCCTGGCAGAAAACAGACTGATGTCTGTGTCCATAGGCAAACAGCGAGAGCACCGACACCACCAGTCTGCCCCAGTTCGAGCCGGCAGCGGCCGAGACACAAGATCGGCCTGTCGGCAGCAGCCGCCTCACCGCTATATTGCGGCTTGTAGAGATAGCCACGAACATCCGATTCAAGCACAAGACCTTCAAAATCCCCTTCATCCATATCAGTTTGAAGTTGAAACATCCTTTTTTCGCTATAGAGCTTTCTCCATAGAGCCCGTTAGCATAGCTTCCAAGCAATATGGCAGACATTAAGTTTCTATTCTGGGAGTGAGCTCCCACCCACTGATCTGTGATTGGTCTGTAGCTTTTTTTGACGATTTTCTGACGATTTTTGCGTCATCGGAAGTTCCTTTTCAGGTTTAGAAATACAAAGATTTCCCGTCTCAAGGGAAAATGAGGGCAGGATGCACGACCATTCAAAAGTACTTCCAGGTTTCTAATGACACAAAGCTTAATGCACATGGGTGAAGTATCCCTTTAATGTATGAAGCCTGAGTGACATCCCCCGTCTGTTCCTGCAGAAGACTCCAGAGGCTTATATGCTGGCTTATATTTCCAACCGCCATGCTGGAAATGCTGTCTCACCCTGACTTTCAGTCAACCTAACGACAGGCTGAGAGCTGGAGCTGAGGCGGGTTTTAAGCCTCCTGACAAACTGTTACACCGCACCCGTCTGTCAATCAGGTCAGCTACACGCCTAACTATGGATAACACGTATCATTTTCTAAATCAAAACGGAGCCTTTTAAAAAAAAATCATCCCCCCATATAGTTTGTGCCAGTGATGACAATAATTAATCAGACCTATTTGGTTCTTTGAACCAAGCTGTAAACATGATCATTTCTGCTGTAAAAACAGCATTTTTGAATGGGTGTATATGTGACTTCCAGCCAGCCTCTAGTGGACACTCAAGGAACATGTAAAAGCTCACATTTTTTAATGGACTTAATAATAATCATTTCTGTCACACATGGTATATAATGAGTCTCTGTGGTTTTGAATGAACTAGGTTGCAACAACTTCCAAGAGCACTCAACTCTTCACAACATCCCACCTTAACAATAACTCAGAACCACTGTGACGTCAAGTGGAACTTTTTGCATTTTAAATTACCTCAAGCCCTCGGTGCTGGCGGCGGATATGTCAGAAAAAACATTTGTCTCCCGCCTCACACCACACAGATAAAGTTCAGGAAGAGGAAACCATGTGAAGTGTGTTATATTGCAAGATTAAATTCATCACACAGACACTTTGCCGTTCTCATCGGGTGAAGACATGAACATTACTGAAGAGGGGCCAGAGCCACAGCCGCTTTACTCCGTGGTCTTTGGCTGTATTCTAGCGCTGGGTCTGCCTCTTAATGCCGTGTCACTGTGGACTCTGCTCAGACACCACAGCCTCAAATCCCCCAGTGCCGTCTTCATGGTGAACCTGGCAGTCTCAGACCTGCTGCTGGTGGTCTCTTTACCAATGAGGGTCTACTACTACGCCACAGGCACCTGGCCTCTGGGCAATTTGGTTTGCAACTTGATTACAATGCTCTTTCACAACAACATCCGCTCCAGCGCCTTCTTCATCACCTTCATCAGCGTGGACCGGCTGCTGGCTGTGGTTTATCCTCTGAGGTCACGCCACCTTCGAACCTCGTCTAACGCCTGGAAAGCTGCGGCGCTCGTTTGGCTGCTTGTGTTGGTGATCAACATCCCAGAGAGTATGCATTTTTCAAAGTTTTTAAAGGAGTTAAATGGATCTTCCTGTTTTCCTAAGACTCCTCATAGATCACCGTTGCATTACATTCAGCCCGTGCTCATGTTCAGCATGCTGGCCGTCAACATGGTGTGCACGGCTCTGGTGTCTTGGACTCTTAGTAGACGCCTGAATGACTCTGCCAGGGTCAACAACAAGGTGAATGTCATGCTGATTTTCTTCTTGAACCTGGTTATGTTCATCATATGCTTCTTACCTCTGTCTGTTGGTATACTTTCAACAAATATTCATGTAAGACCTTTAATATGTCTCGCCAGTGTGAACTGCTGCCTGGATCCTTTGTTGTATTACTTTTGTCTTGATGCTTTCTGGAAGAAGAAAGAGGATGTGGATCTTCCAGGAGAACAGCAGTTAAAGGACATACGATCTCCATGTGTCGGTTTGGAATGAACATTTGGCTTAAATGTTTAAAGTGTGACAAAAAAAATCTGTGAAACTTACGATTGTGTAAAATATGCTTGTTAATAGCTGCCATATTTTGTGTCCCTGTGCACTGTATTTCCACGATTGTTGCACGTTGTTGTTTAGCTACGGCAAAAGTTGTTCAAAAGAATCTCATGCCAATGTATTAAACATGTATTTGAACTTCATCCTAACAGCTTCATGACCACAAATGATTTACGTAGACGCCTCCTGCATCAGGGGCGTGTTCAGACTTTTTTGAGTGGGGTGGCCCAACTTATGCAGGGGTGGCCTGAAATGTGATGTGTGCACAAACACATTATGAATATCAATGAATTACCCTTTTCAACCTCATCAATAATATCTACTTTATAACACAAGATATTGGCAACATTATGACACAAAGAGAAGATGCCTGTTCAAAGTCACAAAATAAAGTACTTAAACATGTATATGCAAACTCCTGCACAGTCCAATTTGCAATGTTTTTGTCCAGACACATTGCCAGTTAGTTTGCTGCAAGTAAGACAGTGTGCATTACTTTCCTGTGCCCCGTCTTATGAAATAGATGTTAGAAGTTTTTAATTACATTTTAAAGTACAAACAAAAGAAAATATGCTACATTGATATGTAAAAAAACTTTAATCATCATTCTGCAAAAAACATTATTATTGACAGGGCAAATACCCAGGGTGGCACCTGGGGTTGCGTAAATGTGAATATTAAAGGACAAAGCCTGAGTGACTCACCTGTCTGTTCCTGCAGGGGGCACTGGAGTCCCGTCGATGGCATTCTCCATGCTGGAAATGCTGACTCAGCCTAACTTTTAGTCAACCTAACAACAGGCTGAGAGCTGGAGCTGAGGCGGGTTTTAAGAGTTTTGACAAACTGTTTCATCGCGCCCACCCGTCAATCATGTCAGCTACGCGCCTCATTGTGAATAACACGTACTGTTCATAAAATCAAAACGGAGCTGTTTGAAAAGAATTCACCCACGTACAGTGTGTGCTGATTGAGACATGAACTAATCAGACCTATTTGGTTTTTTGAACAAAGCTGTAAACATGTTTATTTCTGCTGTAAAAATGTTTTTTTTTTTTTTTTTAAATGGGTGTGTATGTGACTTCCGGGGCTCTTGGAGCCAGCCTCTAGTGGACACTCGAGGAACTGCAGGATTTTATACTTCCACATTGGCTTTATTTTTCAACACCGGAGGTTGCTGCTTGAGGCAAACACGCAGGCAGGAAGAAACTACAACATAAAACAGGAAACACTGAAAACTAAACTCAGGATTATCAACAGAAAAATAAACAGGAAACAGAGAAACACAATTGACAAAATAAAACAGAAAATCACAACCAAGCAACAAGAAGGATACACAAACTAAATCATGAGACCCTCCTGCTAAGGAAAATAAAGATTGGACTGGATTACTGATAAATGACAGTCAATATGTAGAAGCTCAAACAAACTTCTAGTTCCTCTTAAACATTCTTCTGTTCGTGTTTTTTAACAATAATAATCATTTCTGTCACACATGGTATATAATGAGTCTCTGTGGTTTTGAATGAACTAGGTTGCAACAACTTCCAAGAGCACTCAACTCTTCACAACATCCCACCTTAACAATAACTCAGAACCACTGTGATGTCAAGTGGAACTTTTTGCATTTTAAATTACCTCAAGCTGACATTTCATGAACTCACACCACACAGATAAAGTTCAGGAAGAGGAAACCATGTGAAGTGTGTTATATTGCAACATTAATTTCATCACACAGACACTTTGCCGTTCTCATCGGGTGAAGACATGAACATTACTGAAGAGGGGCCAGAGCCACAGCCGCTTTACTCCGTGGTCTTTGGCTGTATTCTAGCGCTGGGTCTGCCTCTTAATGCCGTGTCACTGTGGACTCTGCTCAGACACCACAGCCTCAAATCCCCCAGTGCCGTCTTCATGGTGAACCTGGCAGTCTCAGACCTGCTGCTGGTGGTCTCTTTACCAATGAGGGTCTACTACTACGCCACAGGCACCTGGCCTCTGGGCAATTTGGTTTGCAACTTGATTACAATGCTCTTTCACAACAACATCCGCTCCAGCGCCTTCTTCATCACCTTCATCAGCGTGGACCGGCTGCTGGCTGTGGTTTATCCTCTGAGGTCACGCCACCTTCGAACCTCGTCTAACGCCTGGAAAGCTGCAGCGCTCGTTTGGCTGCTTGTGTTGGTGATCAACATCCCAGAGAGTATGCGCTTTTCAAGGTTTTTAGATAAATTACCTGAATCTTCCTGTTTTGAATTTATGCGTCCTCCTAGATCATCGTTGCATTACATTCAGCCCGTGGTCATGTTCAGCATGCTGGCCGTCAACATGGTGTGCACGGCTCTGGTGTCTTGGACTCTGAACAGACGCCTGAATGACTCTGCCAGGGTCAACAACAAGGTGAATGTCATGCTGATTTTCTTCTTGAACCTGGTTATGTTCATCATGTGCTTCATATCGCCATCTGTTGGTATACTTTCAACAAATAATCAGGTAACACCTTTAATATGTCTCGCCAGTGTGAACTGCTGCCTGGATCCTTTGTTGTATTACTTTTGTCTTGATGCTTTCTGGAAGAAGAAAGAGGATGTGAATCTTCCAGGAGAACAGCAGTTAAAGGACATACGATCTCCATGTGTCGGTTTGGAATGATCATTTGGCTTAAATGTTTAAAGTGTGACAAAAAAAATCTGTGAATTGTGTAAAATATGCTTGTTAATAGCTGCCATATTTTGTGTCCCTGTGCACTGTATTTCCACGATTGTTGCATGTTGTTGTTTAGCTACGGCAAAAGTTGTTCAAAAGAATCTCATGCCAATGTATTAAACATGTATTTGAACTTCATCCTAACAGCTTCATGACCACAAATGATTTACGTAGACGCCTCCTGCATCAGGGGCGTGTTCAGACTTTTTTGAGTGGGGTGGCCCAACTGGGGCTCTGACTTATGCAGGGGTGGCCTGAAATGTGATGTGTGCACAAACACATTATGAATATCAATGAATTACCCTTTTCAACCTCATCAATAATATCTACTTTATAACACAAGATATTGGCAACATTATGACACAAAGAGAAGATGCCTGTTCAAAGTCACAAAATAAAGTACTTAAACATGTATATGCAAACTCCTAAACAGTCCAACTTGCAATGTTTTTGTCCCGACACATTGCCAGTTAGTTTGCTGCAAGTAAGACAGTGTGCATTACTTTCCTGTGCCCCGTCTTATGAAATAGATGTTAGAAGTTTTTAATTACATTTTAAAGTACAAACAAAAGAAAATATGCTACATTGATATGTGAAAAAACTTTAATCAGCATTCTGCAAAAAACATTATTATTGACAGGGCAAATACCCAGGGTGGCACCTGGGGTTGCGTAAATGTGAGTATTAAAGGACAAAGCCTGAGTGACTCACCCGTCTGTTCCTGCAGGGGGCACTGGAGTCCCGTCGATGGCATTCTCCATGCTGGAAATGCTGACTCAGCCTAACTTTTAGTCAACCTAACAACAGGCTGAGAGCTGGAGCTGAGGCGGGTTTTAAGAGTTTTGACAAACTGTTTCATCGCGCCCACCCGTCAATCATGTCAGCTACGCGCCTCATTGTGAATAACACGTACTGTTCATAAAATCAAAACGGAGCTGTTTGAAAAGAATTCACCCACGTACAGTGTGTGCTGATTGAGACATGAACTAATCAGACCTATTTGGTTTTTTGAACAAAGCTGTAAACATGTTTATTTCTGCTGTAAAAATGCTTTTTTTTTTTTTTAAATGGGTGTGTATGTGACTTCCGGGGCTCTTGGAGCCAGCCTCTAGTGGACACTCGAGGAACTGCAGGATTTTATACTTCCACATTGGCTTCATTTGTCAACACCGGAGGTTGCTGCTTGAGGCAAACACACAGGCAGGAAGAAACTACAACATAAAACAGGAAACACTGAAAACTAAACTCAGGATTATCAACAGAAAAATAAACAGGAAACAGAGAAATACAATTGACAAAATAAAACAGAAAATCACAACCAAGCAACAAGAAGGATACACAAACTAAATCATGAGACCCTCCTGCTAAGGAAAATAAAGATTGGACTGGATTACTGATAAATGACAGTCAATATGTAGAAGCTCAAACAAACTTCTAGTTCCTCTTAAACATTCTTCTGTTCGTGTTTTTTAACAATAATAATCATTTCTGTCACACATGGTATATAATGAGTCTCTGTGGTTTTGAATGAACTAGGTTGCAACAACTTCCAAGAGCACTCAACTCTTCACAACATCCCACCTTAACAATAACTCAGAACCACTGTGATGTCAAGTGGAACTTTTTGCATTTTAAATTACCTCAAGCTGACATTTCCTGAACTCACACCACACAGATAAAGTTCAGGAAGAGGAAACCATGTGAAGTGTGTTATATTGCAACATTTCATCACACAGACACTTTGCCGTTCTCATCGGGTGAAGACATGAACATTACTGAAGAGGGGCCAGAGCCACAGCCGCTTTACTCCGTGGTCTTTGGCTGTATTCTAGCGCTGGGTCTGCCTCTTAATGCCGTGTCACTGTGGACTCTGCTCAGACACCACAGCCTCAAATCCTCCAGTGCCGTCTTCATGGTGAACCTGGCAGTCTCAGACCTGCTGCTGGTGGTCTCTTTACCAATGAGGGTCTACTACTACGCCACAGCCACCTGGCCTCTGGGCAATTTGGTTTGCAACTTGATTATAATGTTCTTTCGCAACAACATCCGCTCCAGCGCCTTCTTCATCACCTTCATCAGCGTGGACCGGCTGCTGGCTGTGGTTTATCCTCTGAGGTCACGCCACCTTCGGACCTCGTCTAACGCCTGGAAAGCTGCAGCGCTCGTTTGGCTGCTTGTGTTGGTGATCAACATCCCAGAGAGTATGCATTTTTCAAAGTTTTTAAAGGAGTTAAATGGATCTTCCTGTTTTGAATTTAAATTTCCTCCTAGATCATTGTTGTATTACATTCCGCCTGTGCTCGTGTTCACCATGCTCGCCGTCAACATGGTGTGCACGGCTCTGGTGTCTTGGACTCTTAGTAGACGCCTGAATGACTCTGCCAGGGTCAACAACAAGGTGAATGTCATGCTGATTTTCTTCTTGAACCTGGTTATGTTCATCATATGCTTCTTACCTCTGTCTGTTGGTATACTTTCAACAAATAATCAGGTAACACCTTTAGTATGTCTCGCCAGTGTGAACTGCTGCCTGGATCCTTTGTTGTATTACTTTTGTCTTGATGCTTTCTGGAAGAAGAAAGAGGATGTGGATCTTCCAGGAGAACAGCAGTTAAAGGACATACGTAATGTGTCGGTTTGGAATGAACATTTGGCTTAAATGTTTAAAGTGTGACAAAAAAAATCTGTGAAACTTACAATTGTTTAAAATATGCTTGTTAATAGCTGCCATATTTTGTGTACCTGTGTACTGTAGTTCCACGATTGTTACATGTTGAATCAAAAAATTCTCATGCAAAAGTATGAAAAATGTATTTGAACTCCACCCAAACAACTTCATGACCACAAATGATTTACATAGAGGCCATCTCCTGAGCAAGATAAGGACTGATCTCACTGTCATGTCTGCACAGTAACTATCAATCTGGAGCACTGAAGACTGAAAACAACGCAGCTTGCCACATAGATGTGAATGCATTAATGAGACTGAGTTGGGAACCGGAAGATCGCCGGTTCAAGTCCCAATATGGACAACCATGTCTGGAAATTGGTCTGGTAGCTGGAACCGACCCCCAATCCCCCTACCAGCTCAGGAGCGCTTACTGTGGCCGCCCCCTCACTCTGACATCTCTCCATCAGTGCATGTCCAACAGAACTTGTTTGTGCGTGTGTGTGTGTGTGTGTGTAGCATGTTCAACAACAGTGTAAACTGAATTTCTTGTGTGATTAATAAAGTATATCTTCTTCTAAAACAAAAGACAATTTATCCTTTTACACATTTACACAACTGCAAATATGGAGTTAGATCAGTCTCAATGTTCATAAATGCACACAGAAGGATTCACAAATGTATTTCAATACACACACAAATATATTTCATTCTATATAAATGTAAAACAAAAAAAAAAATAAGATTCACAAATGTATTTCTGATTCACACACAAATATTTATAGTTTTGCACATACACTGCTTGTCCAAAACAAAAGTCGCCACCTGGATTTAACTAAGCAAATAGGTAAGAGCCTCCCATTGGATAATAATTGCATGGGCGATTATCTTTCAGCTGGCAACAAGTTATTTAACCCCAACTGATGCAATGAGTCGCTTCTCATTTCTTAAACTAATATGTTGAAAGACCCATCCTGTGGTCATGGAAAAGATGTTAAGTCTGTTTGAGAAGGGTCAAATCATTGGCATGCATCAAGCAGAGAAAACATCTAAGGAGATTGTAGAAACTACTAAAATTGGGTTAAGAACTGTTCAACACATTATTAAAAACTAGAAGGAAGATTTACCCTGTTCCAGAGTGATCAGGGTAAGAAGATAGGCAGATGAAGTGATGCACCCATCATGCATAGTGCCTACTGTACAAGCCTGTGGGGGCACTGCTATGATCTGGGGTTGCTGCAGTTGGTCAGGTTCAGCAACATTATGTGCCCAAAGAATGAGGTCAGCTGACTACCTGAATATACTGAATGACCAGGTTATTCCATCAATGGATTTTTTCTTCCCTGATGGCACGGGCTATTCAAAGTTGACAATGCCAGGATTCATCGGGTTCAAATTGTGAAAGAGTGGTTCAGGGAGCATGAGACATCATTTTCACACATGGATTGTCCACCACAGAGTCCAGACCTTAACCCCATTGAGAATCTTTGGGATGTGCTGGAGAAGACTTCGCGCGGTGGTCTGACTCTCCCATCATCAATACAAGATCTTGGTGAAAAATGAATGCAACGGAAATAAATCTTGTGACATTGCAGAAGCTTATCGAAACAATGCCACAGCGAATGTGTGGCAAAGCTAAAGGCGGTCCAATGAAATAATAAAGTGTGTGATCTTTTTTTTTGGCCAGGCAGTGTACGTAGACTGAACAGTTTATATTCAGTATTTGTGGATTTCTATTACATGTATACAAAACTATAAATATTTGTGTGTGAATCAGAAATACATTTGTGAATCTTATTTTTGTATTCGTGGATTTGTTTTACATTTATATAGAATTAAATATATTTGTGTGTGCATTTAAATACATTTGTGAATCCTTCTGTGTGCATTTGTGAATATTGAGACTGATCTAACTCCATATGCAAACCACAGAGGGAGCAACAATCAACGCGTCTGTCAGACCATCGGCAAAGAAACAAGAGTTTTTACCATCTTTAGACTCAATATTTAAAGATTTACTGAACTCTCATGATCACAATATCCAAGAGTACCAACTATCGAAATGCAGAGAAAGATTGAATCCAAAACATATCACCATGACTGGTTGCCTAAAATGTGTCACCCATATCCCGCTGTATTTCCAGTAATATTTCATGTGCATCAAAATGGCGACCGCACTCTGACCTTGACATCTAATTGAGCCAATTAGGAGCTTCCATTCAGCCAGCCTATGAATAGGAATGTTGCTGCATTTATCTTTTAAAACATCCTGACTGCAGCTGTCGCCTCTGCTATCGCTGGATTATTCTACACAAGGTTAACGTGATAAAACAAAAGATAGGGAGTTATTTTCACGACTTTATTCACAGACAGATTTCATTGGCAAACAAAATGTACAGCTCCACGTTGTTGTTGTTTGTTAAACTAACATCCCATGTATTGTGCTCCCATTTCTGGTAGCTTTGACTTTAATCCAGAGTCTGGACTAAGGCATTATACGTTGTTTTACAAAACATTCTAACAGTGCTGCTTTGCTCATATAGATTACACATGCAAAGGGAAACCAGGGCGTTGTTCAAAAGTATTCACAGAGGCCATGGTTGAAGTTGTTAAAAACATTTTTAAAAAAAGCTTTACAGCCTGTCCTAACAGCACGCGACGGGAGTGAGCATCAAAAATCAGCCTGATTCTACTGTTTACGATTAGAGTGTTAAAAATGGTGCGCCGTTTTTCTGTTTTCCTCTCTGTCGCTCACGTAGACGGACAAGGGACGAGGAAGGACGGGGGCTCCACACGGGCCGACACTCCAGTGTTTCGACGTGCCGACATGCCGACATGGCAACACGACGACACAAACACTTGAAGGAATCTTGGTGTTCATGTGTTACTTTTAATGACAGCTGTCCTTTTCTATCGGAAAGGTATCCTTAAATGACTTCTTTCCCTGATTTCCGACTCTATCCACTATCCTATCTCTACAACAAAGGAACAAAAAGCCCAAAAACAAATCTTTACTTGACCTTCGGGGAAGGGGGGGGGGGGGGGCTAATATAATGGTAGGGGAAACACTACACTCAGTCAACAGAGCTCATTAGTTTGCTGTACAAAGTGGAGAGAGTGTGGTGCATTAATAATATCCTCATCCGTGATTAGAATGTTGAGCTCTGACTTGTGTCAGCACCGGAGAAAAACGTTCTTTTCGGGTCACCGCGAGCCGTTTATTGACGCGCCCCCGAATCTGCACATAGCCTACTCCGTGCTACTCCGTTTTTGCTCCTCACAGCGTGTTTGAAACGGAGGCACTGGTGGCACGCTCCGGGAGACGGATCGCTGCACTCGCTGTGGAAACACAACTTGACTTGAGTGGTAGGGCAGCGGCGTATTTGCTCGGCGCTGACGGACCGCGGCGCGCACGGAGTATGTGCCGGGATTGTGATTTGAGTCAACAGCTCCTCAATAGAAAGCAAAACACTTCAGTTTGTCCACCTTCAGTTCAGAAGCACTACATGTCATAGCAGAGGATTCAATATTTAACAGATGCAGTGTGGACATCATGCGCGATACGCCGAGATATATACATCCCTCGCTTGCTGTTAGGACTCGGTGTATGTCTGTGACTATATAATGTTTAGAAATTAAAGAAACGAAGATGACGACTAATGGCAGCATCAAAACATAACTACAATCTTCAATTTCAATAATCTATGATCTGATGCATCATGAGCCGATTTCTACATCTACTTCCATGAGCGTGCTTCTTAAGAAAGACATGAAAAGCAGGAAGTGAAGCGAGGATGCAACAGGCAAGCAGGAGGGTAAATGTGCAAGCATGCGACAAGTCGTCAGCAGTTGCATGATACTCTAAAAAATATGAAGAAAGGGTTGAATAAAGTTTGCTCAGGAATGCGCGCGGTCATGCTCTGCACAGAAGTCTGTGTTGACGAGAATGAAGAGACAACTCCTGCACAAGAGAAACAACAAAGTACCGTCACCTTGACAACACAGGGAGACAGCCATCTCCCCAAACAACAGAGACAAAATCCCCGGAGGAAGTGAGGAGGTGTTGGAATTGTGTTCATTATTGGCTTCAAAGACTGTGCCACAAGGAAAGTCCTGTGATAACACGAGCAGCTTAGTATTGCATCACATGTCGGGGTAAATATTACCTATGGGACATCGAGAAAAACAAGAACAAAGGCAGGGTTTAAATGAGAACAAATCTTTTACAAAAGACATCAAAGGAAATTAAAAAGTAAAGTGCGACTCGGACGAGATCGGATCCACAGGAGGATGCTACAGTGGCTGGGGCAGAGATGGAGATGTGCACTTTTGGGTGGGTGGGGTGACACGGGTGGCCGGCGTCGTTTTACGCTTCATCGCAGATAACCGTCTCCACCACAAAGGTGTTCTCAAAGTGACGGATGTGGTGGCAGTCCTTGGCCTCGCGCTTGTTGATGCCTGAGAGGGAAACAGGATGAGACGGAGGGAGCGGATCAGTGATGTGAAAACCTGCAGATCTCATCACAACATTTGAAAACATTCACGCTGCTCTCATCCCTGAAACACAAACTCAGAGCGACACATTCGATCAGCCGACTCGGGGAGTTTTTACTCTATACATTTTCTTTTTTTTTTTACATTTTCCCCTCCATCAGCTGTTACTTACGCCTGCGGGTGACACGGCGGCTCAAGCGGTACGTGTCCTTTCCATTGCACAGGCGGTTGATGAACGGTCCCAGCTGACGCAGGTTGTGCACTTTGCCAGTCACCACCATCTCTTCGTGGATGATGTAGGTCTGAGGCAAGTATGTTCCCTTCTGCAAGAGAGACGAGTGCAATTACAACGAGCGTCCAGAGAGAGCTTTAACAACAGAAACAGTAAAAGGGGGGGGGGGTGGTTTCAAAAAGGAAGCTCATCGAGTGTCTCTCTCCTGAACAATGTTGATCTCTATGTGAAAGTAGAGCTAGAGAGTACAAAACAGGAAAGCCATTAGTACTCTCCATGTTGTGAGTCCCGCTTCTAGATCTCACTTCACTAAAGATGAAGCGTTTCACTCTCACAGCCTCAAAAGTCATTTACTCATGTGGCTGTAACCGAGAAGCTTCTCTGTGTACGTGTACTGTTTTTAAAACCAGATATTTAAATTTCACTTACAGAAACAATATGAAGGATTTCACTTTGATGCACTAATGTCATTAAGAGACACAGTGCTTTTAACGCCCACCCCCCAAACATGACTCTGCTAGCATCTGCAGCTCATTGTTGAGACAACCTTTAGCGTAAGATGGATTTATTGATTATTGATCCTTTGAATGCAAACCTGAGACATAACTTGGGTTGGACGACTCTCTGCACCCACCAGCCTTAAAGGCTTATTTGTGTAATAGCTGTAGTTTGCCAAGGTGGAGAGACACTACATGACAGGGTCTGTTGCAAAATCTATGAAGACACCTGGATTCATTTGTCATGCTGCCTCAAATTCAAGCTATTCTCAAGGAGACATATCACCTTTCTGTCCATCCATTTTCTTCCCCTTAACCGAGGTCTGATCATGGACCAGGAGAGGTAGGTCAACCCAGACTTCCCTCTCCCCAGCAACGCTTTCCAGATCCTCCTGGGGGATTCTGAGGCGTTCCCAAGGCCAGAAGGGATAAATAATCCCTCCAGCGGGCTCTGGGACCACCCCAAGGTCTCCCCCCAGCTGGGCGTGCCTGGAAAACCTCCAAACGGGAGGCATCCTAATCAGACGCTCGAACCACCTCAACTGGCTCCTTTCGATGAGAAGGGGTAGTGGCTCTACTGCGAGCCCCTCACCCTATCTCTCCAGACACCCACTGGAGGAAACTCAAATCGCGTTCTTATTCTTTCTATCACTACCCGTAGCTCGACAGGCAAATAAAAGAGCTTGGCCTTCAGGCTGTATGCTCAACCCTCTCTTCACCAGTTTTCTGTTTTTTTTTTTTTTTTTTTAAAGATTTATGTTTGGGCTTTTCGTGCCTTTAATGCAGAGAGAGGACAGTGGATAGAGTCGGAAACCAGGGAGAGAGAGTGGGGAATGACATGTGGAAAGGGGCCACGGGTGGAAGCGAACCCGGGCCTACCGCTTGAGACGAGAGTCTCAATACATGGGACGCGCGCCCTAACCATTGCGCCACCAGCGCGCCCCATCTGTTTTTGTTTGTAAACGCCAAATGTGAACATCCCAAAAAAGGAAACAGTGAAGGCTACAACCTTTCATAAGCTGTGTTACCTTGACATTGATTAGAAGCTCCCAAAGGTTGCGTGGCGGCATCACGATGGTGGTGTTGAGCTCTATAACGTAGCACTTGTCCAGAGCAATGTCGTGGTAAGCGGTAAGTCCCTTGAAGAAAAAGCAGTTTTTTTAAAAACATGAATGAGCACATTATTTTTTTTGCTGATGTTGCGGTTCCTCCTGTTGTAAAACGTGAATAACCGCAGCTAGGAGCAGATGTAAGCTGGATCATACATCCACCATTTTGGTTTGACCTGTGATATAGCTTACTGAATACTGGATTGAATGGCACAGGATTCTTTCAGGATGAATCCTGCAGACACAAGTGAGCTGCCAACGTTACATCTCGCACCATCATTAGATTCATTCATCAAAAAACCTGAACAGCAAGACACATTGTTTAGATGATGCTCATAAAGAAACCATCACACCAACATGCTTTACATCAGGATGTTAGCGCTGTCGTCACGTTGTCCTGAGCACTAAGCTAAATGCAAAGTCCAACCTTAAAGGGCCGGTACCATGGCTGTAGACAGAGGTCTTTTTTTCTGTAATATGAAGGCCATTTAGAAGTTAGTGATGTTAGGAAACGTTGCTCTGTTTGCATGTGTGTGTTTGGGTCCTCACTCTGTGGAAGTCATGGATGATATCAGCGGGGTCGCTGCCTCCGAAGTGAGGCACGGGCACGGTGATCTTCTCGTAGTTGTCGGCCAAGTAGATGCCAACATTCTCCTCCAGCTCCTGACGCCCTCGCAGCGGGGCGTACGCAGAGTCTTCATAGAGCACCCTGCAGTGGAACAGGTTCTCCTCTGGGATCTGCACACACACACACACACACACACACACACACACACACACACACACACACACAGAATGTAGATCAACACACCAGCTGCAACACTTAAAAACAAGTGTGCAGCAGAAATATTCCTCTCATATGGTACCGACCTGAACAGAAAACAAATCTGAGACGAGGGCTGTAACTGAACTAACGTAAAGATCCCCTCTCCTCCTCATGCCCACCTTTCATGTTGTCAGTCTGTGAAATATATATATAGAGCTATAGAGCAGCTTTGCAGGATTCACAGCTCAAAATCCTCCTTATTTATCTGATACTGTCGTCAGTAAAAATCCTCATTTCAGCCTCTGCCAGAAACAGTTCCTTACAGCTGCTGTCTCTTTAAGGCCCACCCCTCCCCACGTGCCCACTATTCCTCTGATTGGCCAGCTCTCTGGGGCAAAACGCTGCAGGGCTGCCAGGGGACGGCTGCTCTCCAGTGCTGGGAAAAGAGAGTCTATGGAAGAGGTTTCACCAGCCTACATAGAGGCTTGAAGACATCTGGTGAAATTCTTGGTTTCATATCAGGGAACTACTTTTTAGCGCAGACTCATCCTGGGATTACTCCAACATACGTTTACCTCAAGATCTGAAACTTTTCCCACCTTTAGTCTGGGGATTTTTTTTTAAATGAGGATCAGCAGATCATCTGTCATTAATAAAATCTTGTCGTAATAACCAAATCTTACATGAGGTATGAAGTAGTAGCGGTAGACATAAATGGAGGCGAGGACCAGACCAGCCATGAACACAACCAGGCCGAACGTCAGGCAGCACAGGCCGTTGAGGGGAGACTTTTTGGGCCGCAGCGGCAGCACCAGCTCCTCCTCATCCTGGAAAACACAAACACACACGTTGAATGCACATATAAAAAAAAACAAAGAGCTCACTCAAATGGCAGTGCTTCATTTCAAACAGGAATAAATAGCACTGAGCACAGCTAGAGGAAGAGATGGGGAAGCGCGTGTTGTTGAAATCTAGTCGGAGATGGTGGGTGAGTAATTTTCCCAGACGCCTACAGTCTAGCAGCCCATCTGACGGTGCCACGAGTCCAACAACCTGTGTGGGCACAGTGACACTACACACAGATACACACAGATAGTAGCGACTCAGTGACTGTGCGCTTCCTTTCACTGAAATAATGACAAACAGAGAAGCGGCTCAATGAGTGCTGTAGCCGTGCTGAGGTGATGGCTCTGTAGAAGAGTGGCTCTTTACAGAAACTGTGGTTGCTATTTTTAGCTGTGAGTACGAGGATCAAATGATTATGAGACACAAAGACACAGCTACTGTAAGAAACTTCAGAGAACAACGATGACAATCCTCCTGTCTGAATATGTTGCATCATTTTTTTTTAAAAAGGGTCAAAGCATCCCCTGTTTCACAATCTGTCTTCAGAAGATTGCGGTATATGTGTGCACCTACTTTGGACAGTGTGTGTTCTGTGTGTGTTCAGCGTCTCTGCTCTCTGTGGAAACATTTGGACGCAGAGAGAATGGGCATAAGGACAAGGTGGCGACTGTGTTTGTGCGAACACACACTTGTGTCTGAGACTTTGTGTTCTCCCACCACACAGAGACAGAGAAGGGCTCTTTCGCACCAGCTGACAGCGTGACACACCATGAGGCCCGACAAACTCCTGTTCAGTACATCTCAGGGAGCAGATTTTAAAGACACAGCCACTCCATCCCGAAAATGCACTTTTGCAAAATCCTCTTTAAATGCATGTCTCGTGTCCTATATGGTATGTTCCATCATGGTGCATCATCTTGGGGGGGGGGGGGGGGCAAGGTCATGTATCTTTAACGAGGGTTGAGGTGGATGCTCGGGTGCTGCTACTGCAAAGTTAAGGACTCCACTGCTCTCTGCTCTCCCTCCATCAGAGCTGGGAAAAAAATGCGCTGCGAGCACCAGCCTCCCTGCCATTTTGTCAGCTGAATCTTATACATTTCTGGCATTGAGCCCTTTCTTGAGGAAGTAATTTAAATATCATGCAAAACATACATCCCATATATTTAAATGATTGTCAGACTCAATGCAACTTCCACAGCTAACCCAGAAATACACTTTGCTTTCTGCTTGTAATCTAACACAGTACACAGTCCTGAATGAAGAACACGCATGTTATACACTTGCATCAAGCTTGCAAAAAGGGGGCTGAACTGGTGCATGAGAAAGGAGTAAAGTAATGGCATGTTTTGTTTGCAAGTAAATGGCGACAGATGCTGTCAAAATGCCCTGCTGTTCGTGTCTGTGCAGGTGCAGGATGCAGGCAGGAGAGCTGAGCAGGAAGCACATCACGGTGGCATTGTGTCAGGAGGACAAAGACAGGAATTATTCTGAAGACATGCACAACAATGACCGACGCGTCACTCACCATCGGATGGGGAATGAGGATTTCGGTCTTGTCGCCATCATTCTCCTTCTCCACTTTCTGTCCCGAGACAGACTGGAAACTGATCTTCACCATGGCTCGCTGGTTAAAAACCTGTCAGGCTGCAGGTTTCCCCTCTTCCCGTCAGTGTGAACTAAAAGCTGGACACCTTGTCGATAGGTACACCTCGTCGTCAGGCCGTCCTCTTCTCACTGCTGCTCCTCTGTCTCGTTTCTTTTCCTTTTTTTTCATCCAACCGGAAGTGGGCTGGGTTTTTTTTTTCTTCCTTGTTCTTAACTGCGCCCTTAAAGGAGCATTTCGCTGATTTTTGAGTAGCTCCAGTATCACTTGTGAAAGACGTGCAAATGTATCATCTCCATATCTCATTATCTCGGGGTAACAAAGATTGTCTCCATATAAAAAGATTGATTTAATCTGTTACAACAAGGAAACCAGCTTTGTTTTCTCACTATAAGGCGCCTTCATAGAATGTATAAAACATGGACATGGTCACCTGGTGGATGGTGAAGATCAGTTTCATGGTGGTAGCCATATTCAAAAGGATGTCTCAATCAAGCACTAGCCCCATCACAAATCTGTCTAGCCCTCTGCCCTCACGCATGTGCTTTTATTTGGGGGAAAAAAAAGAGAGAACTTAAAAAGTAAGTATGAATTCATGAAAATTGACTATTCATGGCATTAGTCAAGCTCCCACTCAGCACCAGAAGAAAAACAATCCTTTCGCGCAACCTTAAGTCCCTGACACACCTAGGAGATCGTCGGTCCGAGCTTAACAGTCCATGAGCGGTCTTCGTCCTAGTTTTTGCGGTGTCTAGTTCTTTGCCGTCTGCTTGGCGTTTTCAGGGTCTTAATATCAGATAGTGAGGCGAGCCCAAAACCTCCAGACAGCCAGATACAACACGTCTGTTTGCAGTCATATATTGAGCATAACTCTCGTGCTTCATCAAATCAAAACGGGTGAGTTATTAAAAAAAAACAATTAAGACATGCATCTCAGTATTAAGATCACAAAATAGCTCCCTGGTTGAACTCCTCTGACAGGGTAGTGTTTGTTCATTCTGGGTCATTTCAAAACTACATTTGAGGTCTTCTAGATCCCCACGGTCTGCTGAACGCTTACACAGATTCTGGTCCATCACGTGTGGCTCAGGACTGGAGAGCTGAGACAGAGATGCTCTGGGAGAAGATGAGAGCCTGAATCATATCAAAGGACTTGTATCTTAAAAAACACAATCGAGAGACAAACAGTGTTTGTCATAAAACAAAATGTGGAAAATGGATCTCGTACTCCCTTCATGAAACCAAGCTTTTACGGAATATTACGAGGGAATTGTAATTGTGATTTCTGCACACTTAAAGAAAATGACCACAGCTTCATTTTATTCCAAATGTTGTTGTTTCTTTATTTCGTTTGTAGGGCCCAGGCCTTTGACACTTCTGAAAGCACCCACACGCTCTTTGCTGGAAAGTGAGTCCCAGTTAGTCAGCATCCAGCCAAGAGTTCAATTTGACATTTCAATGTTGTTAAATATTGGAAAAAAAGTAAACAATTCCAGTACAACACTTCTAGTACAGCATCATGCACAGCCAGCGGAGGAACATGCACGTTCAATGTGTTTGATGGGAGGAGCTGAAGACGATCTGAGCAGTGCCCTCGTCTGCACCGAGACGGTTCTGTATGACGCCGGGTCGTTCGCTGTAAAGGAACAAATCTGTTTTTGTTCAGCACCGTGAGGACAGCCCAACATGCCCCAATTACTCTGCTACCCACAATGCTTTACACTCAATTGTACTGGAATTATAATCCCTATGAAGAGGGAGGCTCAAACAGGAGGAGAAAAATAGGAGTCATATTCCACGTTGTGTCCTTAAGAGGAGTTCACCGCTGATGCACGCTCACCGCGAGGACACGCAGCCCTCCTTTGCCCCTCGCAAAGAGGCGAGAATGAGAAATAAAAAGAGTTAATGATAGCATCGAGGGGAGCGGGAATCCCTGCAGCCCTCGACTCTGGTTAGCTGATGTTGATCACTCAGCACCTCACAAAGTGCACAAACACAGGATTTATATTTCTGTTAATGCTCTCCAAACGACCCCTCCCCCCTCCCCTCTAAAGCACACACTCCCGCATGTTCAAAATGTAGATGAAGAGAAGGATGAAGAAGGTTAACAGATCCAGAGCTAACACCATGACATTCCTCTGCTGCACAAACTGTTATCTTATCCGTGAGCTGGCCCTCGCTTATGTACAACACAATCCACCAGCAGCAGCAAAATGAAATGCAAAAAAAACAAAATCACTTTGCTTGTTTCTTTTACTGTTTAAAATGATAACAATTTAACCAAAAACCTGATGTTTAAGGTGATATATATATAATATATATTCATATGTCGAGGTTAAACAAAAAATCTACAAAGCAAAAAAAAAAGGCATATGTACATGTTCACCCCGTCCCAAAAACAATAAAGAGACCTAAATGCATCCCTCGCTTCCTCGTGTGCTTCAAAGTGCTGCGTCGAAAACAAAGCACATGGGAGGTTCATGGTTCTGTGTCATGGCCTCTGAGAGTTTGTCCAAATGAATTGTTAAAATGAACCACTGTTGTTGCTTTTTCTGAAGGGGATGAAGCTTTAGCGGTTGTTGTGATGCACGTGCGTTACCCGTGCGGGCCAACAGAGCTGACACTCGAGTCCAGCCGTGGATCTATCATCACATCTCAAGGCATGCAACAAACACACCAATGTTCAACTTCACTCGTACCATTCCCATCCCAAGGAGTTAGCCGATATTGTTTCAGTGTGTGTGTGTGCGCATGGTTTTTATGTGTGTGTAAACGTGTTAACTTTTGTTTATCAGGAAGTCTGCTTTCTTTAAACTGACACTTTCTGTCACTTTGTTTGACGGACTGTTGTCTTTAGAATATACTTTGACTGTCTCAATGTGCAAGGAAGCAGCAACATCTATTATTTATTTTGTTCTTTTGAAGGAATAAGACTTAAAAAAAAAAAAAAAAAAGCGTTCGAGGAGGAGGCGAGGAGTTGGCCACTTCCTGATGAGTTGATAAGTTGAAGAGTTGGGTTTTCTCATGTTTCCTGTTTTTTTTTTTTGTTGTTCAGAAGCCAGAAGAGCAGCTGCTGATGGATCCGTCAAGCGGACATTGTCTGGGTGTTGGTCCAGACATGATCCTGGTGGCTCCCCAAATCCCCCCCCCCCTGCCCTTGTACCATTCCTCAGGCCTCCTGTGGGGCAGGCCTCTTCAGGTCCCTGATCTGTTTGACCAGGTAAGTCTTTTCATCGTTGAACTGTTCGTCCTCCGTTCTGTCGTTCTGGAACTTGCTGAGAAACTCGATGAGTTTGGTCTGGTTCTTCAGCAGGATGTCCAGGATGGGCTGCGTCTTGTTTGGGTTGGCCACAAACACCTGGCAGTGGAGGAAAACGGCGAGCATGTTAGCATGAGCAGAGGCGGTGTTCTGAATTTAAAGATGTAGGCAAAGCTGCTTACCTTAAAAACGTGGAAAGCCTCAAACTGGATGTTGCGGCTTTTGTCCCTTAACAGATTCATCATTAGTTTGAGATTTTCCGGCTTGCTGATGTATTTCGTCATGATGGTGAAATTGTGCCGATCAAGAAGCAGCTCTCCCAGTAACTGGATCCCAGTGACAGACAGAGATAAAGATTCATTTGTGGGAAAGCCAAAAACATTCTAACTTAACTTGATGCCGTCACTCGTATGTTTGCACCTCTGTTTTTTTAGCTACCTTAGGCCCGTGTCCACCTAGCATTATTTACTGGGCACCAGTGTATTTAAAAATTATTTTCAAAGAGGAGAGAGCGTTCGCCTAGAGAAAAAGCGCAGCAGTCTGTGTCTTTTTCCCAAGTGCTCCTCCTTTTTTCCCCTGAAGTTTTTCCGCCTACAGATCGTGTCTTGTAACATCCTCTCTGCTCAGAGCCTGATCAGGAAATAAACGATCTCAAACATAAAACATGCAACAAAAAGTGACAGATCAGTGTCGGTCATTCAGCAGCCCTTGTCAACAGACTGTTGTCATAGAGACAGGCAGACAGGCAGACATGCAGTGCTTTTCTTCTCAAGGCTTAATGCAAACGTTCTGCAACACACAGCCAGCGCTTTTCTGCTCGGAGAAAACGCTAGGTGGACACTTATGGGCCTTACTGTACACAGAGCAATGCAGGAGCAAGGCTTCACTTTTTAAAAGGTTGTAAACAGGAGCCGAGTTATCAGCGAGATCTCCTGTAACTGTCTCCTGGTATGCACAAATACAAATCATAAAATCATGAAACTAAACTTGGCACTAAATGAGGTCAAAGACATAAACCTAGTGCAAAAGCATGTCAAACATGTACTTGCTGCCACCACTAGATGGCGGTCATGACAAGGTGATGGAAATGGAGTGCACTGCAGAAATCCAACACTCTGCACAGCCCCCATCTTTAAATAGCTCTCTGAATAGAGTTGCAACATAACATACATGAGACGTGTTTACTGGCATGAGCATGCAGGTCCCTTACCTTCAGAGACTGCCTTTTAGTCACGTAGTTTTCTGAGTGGAGTAACTTCTCATACTCGCTGAAGAACTACAGAGGGCGAAAAAAGAGAGAGTCAGGTATAATAGAGAGAGGGAGGGGAGAGAAAACCTGCCAAGTGGTGGTTTTTATGAGGCTTCTACATCTTGTATAACAACACAGTGACAGGAAAATTAAAGATTAGCCCTCGCAGACTGTCATCGCCTTTGTTTCCAACGCCTACATATGATGTCAACAATGATCGGTTAGGGATTGTTAGGGACGCTGTGAAAGCCACAGATTAAATTTATGTAAGCGGAAGAAGAACAAAGAAATGTTCATCTTGTGGTTTTTTGAAACACTCTAAAACTTCAAATAAAAGCCCATTCCATATTAAGGCCCAGCGCCTAACAGGGCTCAAGTGTGATCCCGTTCATTTTCTCCATAGCGGATTTGATTATTAGCCATGATGTCATAACCATCACAGGTAGACTGACCACGAGCTACCTGTGTGAAACGATGGTTTATGCTCCAGTAGGAGACACAAGTTTGTCTGATATCAACCTCGTTTTAAGAGCAACATGGTTAATTCGCGATATTAAGGAAAAGAACTACACTACCAATAATCCTAGCCTGTCACAGCAACATCTCTGATTGGTGGCACTCGCTGTTACCATGACAATGTCCCCCCCCTCGGTGTAGATGCGAAGGGATAGTTTTGC